AAGCCACACCGTGTCCTGGCTCCCTCTTTTCTGTCAGATGGACAGCTTTGGCGCTCTCTCTCTTTCTCGGGGTGCCAGCACACCTGCCATGTCAAGTCATGTTGAGCCTAGCCAAGCCCAAGATCCCCTGTACAGCATTAACAGGGCAATTATGCCTTTTACAGACAATAGTGGCTCAGAGCCAAAGTTACAATTGGCCTGCGCGCCAAACTCGCCGAGTGATGCAGGCCTGGATATCCATCTTGGCCTATTCCTTGACCAAAGCACATCCATATGTACCTTACTCTCCACCCTCTAGGCTGGGGGAGACACAGGCCTTGGACAGACAGGCTTGGCACACAGGCCTGACATATAAACTTTGAGGATGCAGGCCTGATACATACACGGGCTTGACATAGAAGCCTAACACACAAGCCTTGGGCACACAGGCCTGATACATACATAAGCTTTGATAAACTACCCAGCTATTGGTGCAGATTATTTTAGGTGTCACCTCCTTGGTGATTACCATTCACAGTGCCTTGAGTTTAGCTTATTAACTACTTTGCCTATACCTGCTTTGAAACCATATGGTGTCAGTACATGGCTGGACTGCACCAGCAGTAGCACCCCAGCTAGACCCACTTGTACACAATACCCTATTAGGAATGGGGGGAAGCCCTTCCTAACAATGAAGGCTTAGGGTCTGGGGATGCCTCCGGTCCCATGGCCTCATCTTGCATTAGGACTTCAGGTCCCAAAACCTCTTGTAACTCTGCTGCTAAGGAACTTGTACTCAGCATACTCTACTGCTTTAAGTAGACACCCCACTTCGCTAAAGTCTTCCCTGTCCCTGTCCAGGGGTCGTTATCCATGAACACACCCATTTGCTATTGGGTTAGTCATCAGCACAATGACTGTAACCCATCCTGCCAGGCTCTTGTGCGCCTGAAGGGCAGCATATGCAGTTACTCTTTTCCCAGTCTCAGGGATGGTTACCCATGAACACACCCATCCCCCTGTTACTGACTGCTTCTTTATTAATGAACACCGGAGCTCAGCTCTCCTCCACAGCCGGGACTAAAAGCTTACTGGCGGCTGGGCGTGGTGGCTTACACCTGTAATCCTAGCACTTTGGGAGGCCAAGGTGGGCAGATCATGAGGTCAGGAGATAGAGACCATCCTGGCCAACATGGTGAATGAAACCCTGTCTCTACAAAAATACAAAAAAAACATAATAATTAGCTAGGCGTGGTGGCGGGCACCTGTAATCCCAGCTACTTGGGCAGCTGAGGCAGGAGAATTGCTTGACCTCGAGAGGTGAAAGTTGCAGTGAGCCAAGATTGCACCACTGCACTCCATCCTGCTGACAGAGCTAGACTCAGTCTCAAAAAAAAAAAAAAAGAAGCTTATTAGCACGTCCAGGTGCTCCATACACTGCTATAGTCCCTAGCCAAAGCTATCTGTGGTTACATCTATATCTAGTGTAAATGGGCACCTTTGGTTTACTACCCAGAAAGGCTGTCTAGGCCTCGTCATCCCAATCCCAGGCAAGAGGGGCGCTGTCACTTTTAAACCTGCAAGAGAATCAGAGGTTAACCTAACATTATTAACAAAACCACACATATGGTGGGACTATACAATAGCCCAGCCAACAACACTATGAAAGTCCACGGTTGCCCTCCCATGAAGGCAAACTGTTCCTGGCTCTCTGGATAAGAAGTCCCAGTTCCGTTATCAAGCAGTCCAGCAAGTCCATGATAGATGGTATAGCTGGCAAACCGTACAAAACATCCACCCCCAGAATGTCTTAGGTATGGGAGACACATACACAGTGCATAACTGAAGAACCAAGCAGCTGATACCAAGATGCAAAGACACAGGTTTTCCTTTCACTGACCAGCTTTCATAGCTGTTTATGCAGCTCTGCCTGGAAACTTATCTGGGTTCAGAGACCAGAGGTTTGCCAAATCCACATGTGGCTTTGTCCAGTGTCCCGCAAGCTGGGCACCTTGGCCAGTTCTCTTATCAAGCAGAAACTGCTTTACACTTCCACTGACTGCAGCAGGTACTCTTTGAACTGGAATGCTTGGGTGGGAATGGGTTGCACAGCAGTGTTCTTCTCCTGAATGACTTGCGCTAAGTCTGTACACAACTGCCGACATTAGTTGCTTAACTTCCGCAACTCAGTGGGGACACAGGCACCATAGGAAATGGTTCCACCATGGTTCCACCATGATAGGGGGGTCTCTGGGCCCACCCTTGGGGCCCAACAGCTGTCTGTGCTCTATTTTCTGATGGACTACAGGGTGAGCCTGCAATGAAGGTTCTTCTTCCTCCCTGTACTGCATCCTGCAGGGACTGGGCATTATTTCCCTCAGCAGAGTCACAAATGCCCATCTGACTCTGCTGGCAAAGGTATGTTCCTTTCAATGCTGTGCATATCCAGGTGCTTCAGTGCCTTCTCCACACTCATGGGGTATCTGTCCACTGCCTCCCATGTTTCCACTGGGGATCATTCAAGCAGCACCACTATGACCAGGTACCACAGCTCATGCTGTGGCCACATAGTTGACCTGGGAACCCTCAGGGGTTGAAGACTCACTCACCTCATCCTGTCCTCATTTCCAATTGTTAGATCCTAGGGTCTGGGTCCAGCCCATGCTGAAGTCTAAGGGCAGTGGGTAGATGAGCAGAAGGAACACTTGGGTAGCCATAGGCAGGTGAATTCGGTTCTATTTAGCAGTGGCTGTCTTACACAGCTTTTTCAAACTAGCTCTTTTACACTGTTCACCCTGTCTCAGCTGCTTAGTCTGGTGGCTCCCACATATACCTGTGCAGCTGGCTCTCCCTTGTCTTTAGGGTCAGCAACTTAACTATTTTTCTCTCTGGGCACGAGCAAGCCAAGTTATGTCCTGGCTCCCTCCTGTCCGTCTGCAAGACAGACAGCTTTGGCTCTCTCTCTTTCTCTGGACACCAGCACATGCCTCATGTAAAGCCATATTGAGCCAAGCCAAGCCCCCAGAGCCCCTGTATAGTGTTAGCAGGACAATTATATCTTTTACAGACAATAGTGGCTCAGAGCCAAGTATGAACTTACACAAAAAGGTTATATAACAAGTGGTGGTGTGCGCCTGTGCACCAAACTCACTGAGTCATGCAGGCCTGGATATCCACCTTGGCCTATTCCTTGACCAAAGCATATCCATATACATTACACCACTGTTTTTAATGTATTAAGAGCAGATTTATATAACTGGAATAAGTTTGGCGTTAAATTAATAATAAATAATTAAAAAGCCAAATAAATGAACAAACAAGATAACTCCAGGAAAGACAAAAATGTAAAAGGGACAGTAATCATACTATAATATTAGCATGGATAAAAATAGCATTTTTCAGCTGGGTGCAGTGGCTCACGCCTATAATCCTAGCACTTTGGGAGGCTGAGGCCAGTGGATCACCTGAGGTCAGGAGTTTAAGACTAGCCTGGCCAACATGGTGAAACCCCATCTCTAGTAAAAAAATATATATATATACATAAATTAGCTCAGTGTGGTAGCAGGCACCTGTAATCCCAGCTACTTAAGAGGCTGAGGCAGAAGAATCGCTTGAACCCGGGAAGCAGAGGTTGCAGTGAGCCAAGATTGCACCATTGCACTCCAGCCTGGGCAATAAGAGCGAAATTCCATGTAAAAAAAGAAAAAAGTAGCATTTTTTACTTCTCCTTCCTGCCACTTTGTGAATAAGGTACTTTGCTTCCCCTTCTCCTTCCACCGTAATTAAGCTAGGAGAGGATATGCCTCCACAGCATGGCAGACTATCGATGGGGGACCTGAGAAACTGAAGTTCTATACAAATCAAGGGCAGAGAGGATGCTCCAGGTGATGGTGAAGCTAAGCTCCAGTTGGACAAGTGGAGGATGGAGTATACCAAAACAATGTGAACTGATGAAAACTGCTGTCACTGATTCTCTCCAAGCTGAGGGAATACACATGGTCCCTGCCTCCCACGAAGAGCCATTCTTGATATTCATCCAGCAGCATTGTATGGAGATCAAGAAATCCAAAAGGGCTGTGAACTATTTATGTTCCGAGCCGGGCGCGGTGGCTCACGCCTGTAATCCCAGCACTTTGGGAGGTCGAGGCCAATGGATCACGAGGTCAAGAGACCGAGACCATCCTGGTCAACATGGTGAAACTCCGTCTCTACTAAAAATACAAAAATCAGCTGAGCATAGTGGCTCGTGCCTGTAATCCCAGCTACTCAGGAGGCTGAGGCAGGAGAATTGCCTGAACCCAGGAGGCCGAGGTTGCAGTGAGCCGAGATCGCGCCATTGCACTCCAGCCTGGGTAAACAAGAGCAAAACTCCGTCTCAAAAAAAAAAAAAAAATGTATGTTCTGTTCAGTTTCAAGAGCTCTGAAATGCAAAGTGAGATGTACACTAAACACATGAGAAAATGCAAATACCTTTATAACACTTTTCTCATAGCTCTATTTTCATCCCTATTTGAAGCAAGTCATTAACATTCACTTTATCATAAATATAATGGCAACAAGTTTTAATGTGCACAAATCAAAACATTTTATAAATTAAAAAAATAGCTTTTTACATTATTCAACTTACGGAACTGTTGGACTCTAAATTATATGGCTGTATAACCCTAGAAAACTAAATACAAAATATTTTATATCATTCTATTTAGGGTATTAGATAAAAAATTAAATAACTTATAATGACTAAACTGGCTAATTATTGTCCTTAAATGGATATTAAAAGCGAATTTTTCTCCTTTGGTAAAGTAACTAGCAAATGATGAAATGTGAAAGTGTTTCCTGGTATATAGATTCACTGAATTCCTTTGACCCACTTAAACAGAACGTGTGACATTCGTGAAATAGTAACTTAATAGCTTTAAAAACAGCTGTTCTGTAGCTCCAAATTAATTTAGCTTTTCTTTTTTAACATGTCTACTTTATGAGAAAAAAACGTGAGAAATGAGTTGTTCTTTTGCTTTCAGGCCCTGCCCTACCATGAGCTGAAGAGGCAGCAACATACATGTTTGGAGTTTAGCAGGGACTGAGAAGGGTGGAAAAGAACTGCCTAACCAAAGGTATCTTTCCCACCTGACTTCCAAGACATCAGAACATTCTCCCTAGTAGATACTCTTTTATATGTGAATATTAGCAATTGCTGTTAAAATGAAAACAGGTTAAACTTACTAGGTTATCATCACCTATGAATAATTTAGACTATCAGCTTATCAGATCTGTCAACCAGTCTTGTAGTGAAATCCTGGTGTTAAACAGTACAGAAATAGGAGAGAAGAAAGAATTGTCTAAGTCTGCCCTGTCCAACAGAAATATAAGCCATATGAGTTGAAATTTTCTAGTAATTAGCAAGTAAAAAGAAACAGGTGAAAGTATTTTTCTTTTTCTTACTTTCTCCTCTTCCAAGGTGAAATTATTTTTAATAACATATTTTCTTTAACCCAAATAACATATTTTATTTCACCTAAAATTTTTCAAACATAAAATCAGTATAAAATTATTAAAGAGATATTCTGTATTCTTTTTTGTACTAAGTCCTTGAAATCCACTGTATGTTTTATACATACAGCACATCTTAATTTGAACTAGACACATTTGAAGTTCTTAATAGCTACATGTGGCTACCATATTGGACAAGCAGGTCTAAGTCAGTGGTTCCCAAAGTGTGGCTCCTAGAGCAGCATTATCAGCATCACCCTAAAACTTGTTACAAATACCAATTCTCAGGCTTCATCCCAGATCTACTAAATCAGAAACTCTGATAGTTGGGCTCAGCAATCTGTGGTTTAACGAGCCTTTCAGGTGATTGTCATAACATGTTAAATTTTAGAATCAGCAGTCTAAATTATAGGGAACTGGCGGGAGAAGTTTTTTCCTTGCTAAGTATTAGAATAAACAGGGTTCAAAATTCAAAAAGTACAAAAACATATACAGTGAAAATCTTCCTTTCCTAGCAGGCACAAGCCCTCTATCTCCCCTCCCTAGAGGCAATCAAAATGTTATATTGGTAGGCAGCTGTCATACCAGACCCCTATTGACTTCAATAGGGATGGTACCATGTTTGAGAGGCTGAAGACAAGATGTAGAGCCAGTGAATGAGACATAGGGTTTATTTAATTAATTTATTTATTTTTTGAGACAGAGTCTTGCTCTGTCACCGAGGCTGGAGTGCAGTGGCGTAATCATGGCTCACTGCAGTCTCAACCACCTGGACACAAGCAATCCTCCTGTTTCAGCCTTCTGAGTAGCTGGGATTAGTCCTGGTTAATTAAAAAAAGAAGGCATTAGTCCTAGCTAATTAAAAATTTATAGAGAGAGATGGGGCCTCACTATGTTACCCAGGCTGAGAAATAGGGTTTATTGAGAAGACTTATATACAGGACAATCAAGTGGTGCCGGGCTGGACAGGAGCTGCATTTGCTTATAAAAAGCATACTGATTATATAGCATTTTCACTTAGCACTCTCACCTTAGGAACCTCCACCTGACAACCTTCATTAACCCAAAACAAAGGACCACAGTACCCTGTATGGCCTGCATTCCATGGGATGAGATGGGGATTCATGCTTCTCATAGGTAAGGAATGAATTTCCTCACTGGCAGCTCCCAGGTTCCTTTTTTTTTTTTTTTTAAGAAACATGTTTATTTTCTGTCAACCTTATTTCCATGTGGCTTATCAGCCTGTGGAAGAACAGCTTAAGACCACTCGGTGGTTATTCCTACCCATTCAGTGGCCTGAGCACTGGGAGCTGCAGACCAGGCTTCCGTGGCAGGCTGAGCTCTCCAGCCTTCAGTAGGGAACTGCTGGATAGGTGCAGAGGGCAGCTGCCACCTTCAGACAAGTCTATACTCTCAGGCAGAGGAGCAGTGAACTCAGGAGCTAGAGCAGTCCACTCATTCTGAAATTTCTCCTCGGTCACAGCTTTTCTACAGTAGTAGCCTGCTCTTTCTCTTTCTTTTCTTTTTCTTTTTTTTTTTGAGACGGAGTTTCACTCTAGTTACCCAGGCTGGAGTGCAATGGTGCGATCTCGGCTCACCGCAACCTTCGCCTCCTGGGTTCAGGCAATTCTCCTGCCTCAGCCTCCTGAGTAGCTGGGATTACAGGCACGCGCCACCGTGCCCAGCTAATTTTTTGTATTTTTAGTAGAGACAGGGTTTCACCATGTTGACCAGGATGGTCTTGATCTCTTGACATAGTGATCCACCCGCCTCGGCCTCCCAAAGTGCTGGGATTACAGGCTTGAGCCACCGCGCCCGGCCCTCCTCCTCCTTTTCTTTTCTTTCTTTCTTTCTTTCTTTCTTTCTTTCTTTCTTTCTTTCTTTCTTTCTTTCTTTCTTTCTTTCTTCCTTCCTTTCTCTCTCTCTCTCTCTCTCTCTCTCTCTTTTGAGACAGAGTCTCACCCTCTTTGCCAGAACTTTGGGAGGCCAAGGCAAGCGGATCATTTGAGGTCAATAGTTTGAGACCAGCCTGGCCAACATGGTGAAATCCCGTCTCTACTAAAAATACAAAAATTAGCCCGATGTGGTGGCGAATGCCTGTAATCCCAGCTACTCGGGAGGCTGGGGCAGGAGAGTCGCTGAACCCTGGAGGCAGTGTTTGGAGTGAGCTGAGATCACACTACTGCACTCCAGCCTGGGCAATAGAGGGAGACTCCGTCTCAAAAAAAAAAAAAAAAAAAAATCAGATGGGAACTGACATACAATTTTGTTAATATGGACAAAACTAGTACACCTTAATTGTAGCTTAAGCTTAGGTTTGAGGCTAAAATAAAGCATCTTACTTACAGCATGAATCCAGATCTTATGACCCACACAATCATGCATTCTTGCAGATAGATCAGTAAAAGCGAAACACACGTCCCTTCTTAACTGCAATTTCCCTTCGGGCAGTTAAAGTCCCAAATTTGATTTTCCCGATTTTTGTTTGGACTGATGAGTCTGGTTTCCAAGAAGAGTAGCTAAATCTCACGTTAGAAATATACCCTGTTTATCAGACATGGTTTGAAAAAAAATTGATTGGGGACTGAAAGCGCTCATGTCTACTTCACTGTTTGTGTGTGTGTGTCAGTGTTTTCGTTTGTTCGAGAGGGAGTCTCACTCTGTCGCCCAGGCTGGAGTTCAGTGGTGTAATTTTGGTTCACTGCAACCTTCGCCTCCCAGGTTCAAGCGATTCTTGTGCCTCAGTCTTCGAAGTAGCTGGGGTTACAGACATGTGCCACCATGCCCAGCTAATTTTTATATTTTTAGTAGAGATGGGGTTTCACCACGTTGGCCAGGCTGATCTTGAACTCCCGATCTTGGGTGATCCTCCCACCTCGGCCTCCCAAAGTGCTGGGATTATTGGCATGAGCCACTGCGCCCAGCCTCTACTTCACTGTTGATCTGCTGGTCCACTTGGTAGATAAGGAAGTCAGGCCAGACCCCTGTTGCCAATGGTTATGTATATTAAACCATATTCCTTGAAGTTTGGCTACAAAGATGGCATATCGGCTTACTGTTACATAGTTATTGATGCAAGGGTATGTTTCTAAAGTATAAATATACCATTTTACTTCCCTGATTGAAAACTTCTAATGATTCATCATTACCTAAATCATAAAGTGTGTTTTTCATAATATGGCTTTTATAGCCCTTAACAATCTAATCCAAACCTACTCCTCAGCCTCTTTCCTTATTCTCACCCTACCTCTGATCTCACTCCCGTTTCTTGAAATTTGGGTCATTGTTTGTTTGTTTTTAAATAGAGATGGCGTCCCGATGTGTTGCCATGGCTGGCCTTGAACTCCTGAACTCCAGTGATCCTCCTGCCTTGGCCTCTCAAAGTGGTAGGATTTCAGGCATGAGCCACCATGCCCAGCCGCCTTCTTCTTCTTCTTCTTCTTTTTTTTTTTTTGCAATTTTAAGCATATATAATTATTTTATGAATGTCTGACTTTCCTATTAGATGATAAGTATCAAGAGAAGAGGAACTAACCTCTGCAACTAGTGCAGTGTCTAACACATACCGGGAACTCAATAAATACTTCTGGACTTAATCATATTGACATTATTATTATTATTATTATTATTATTATTATATGTTTGCCTTCTCGACTGTCACCCTCGATGTCCCACAAGGTATCAACTTCTTTTTTTTTTTTTTAAGTACATGCATATATGCAGTCCATAGGTATGGGTTTTTTTTTTTTCATGAAAGAAAGAAAGAGAAAGAGAAAAGGGGGAGAGAGAACAGGAGTCTTGCTCTATTGCCCAGGCTGAAATACAATCTAAAAGTAGGTATTAAAAACCTCTTTTATGCTGATAATTGTTCTTAACAGCGGAGACAGGAAGGAATAAGGAAAGAAAATAACAAACAGCCAACCAACATTTCATTTAAATCTGTGAAATGCTATGCAAATGCTGAAGAGTGATTTGCTTCCATTTATGTGGTCACTTTCAAAATAGGTGTAATCTGATACTAAAAAAAATGTATATTCTGTGGACCTGGGGTGAAGAATTCTATAAATATTCACTGAGTTTACTTGTTCCAGGTCTGAGTTCAAATCATAAATGTCCCTGTTAATTTTCTATCTCGTTGATCCGTCGAATATTAACAATGTGGTGTCAAAGTCTCCCGGTAATATTGTGCGGGACTCTTTATAAGTCATTGAAAACTTGTCTTATATATCTGGGTGCTCCTATATTGGGTGCATATATATTTATGATCATTGACTCCTATTGTTGCATTGATCCTTTTATCATTATGTAATGTCCTTCTTTGTTTCTTTTAGTCTTTGTTACTATTAAAGTCTATTTTGTCAGAGACAAAAGTTACAACTCCTGTTTTTTTTTTTCTCTCCATTTGATTGGTGAGTCTTCCTCCAACCCTTTGTTTTGAGTCTGTGTGTTCTTGCTTATGAGATGGATCTGGATACAGAGTGCTGATGTGTTTTGACTTTTTATTCAGTTTGTGTGTCTGTGTCTTTGACTGGGGCATTTAATCCATTTAAATTTAGGATTAATATTGATATTTGTGAGTTTAATATTGTCCTTTAATACTAGCTGGCTATTTTGCCCATTAGTTGATATAGATTCTTCATTATGGAGATACTCTTTACCTTTTGGTAAGTTTTTGGGATGACTGATACTGGTTGTTCCTTTCTGTGTGTAATGCTTCTTTCAGAAGCTCTTGTAAAGCAGGCCTGGTGGTGATGAAATCTCTGAGTGCTTGCTTGTTCACGAAAAATTTTATTTTTCCTTCATTTATAAAGCTTAGTTTAGCTGGATATGAGATTCTGGGTTGAAATTCTTTTCTTCAAGGGTATTGAATATTGACCCCCACTCTCTTCTAGTTTGTAGGGTTTCTGCTGAGAGATCTTCTGTGAGTCTGATAGGCTTCCCTTTATGGGTAACCTGACCTTTCTCTCTAGCTGCCCTTAGAATTTTCTCCTTTATTTCAACCCTGCTGAATATAATAATTATGTGTCTTGGGGTTGCTCTACTTGAGGAATATCTTTATGGTGTTCTCTGTATTACCTGGAGTTGAGTATTGTCCTGCCTTACTAGGTTAGGAAAGTTTTCCTGAATAATATCCTGAAGAATATTTTCCAGCTTGGATTCATTCTCTTCATGACATTCAGGTATACCTATCAAACATAAATTAGGTCTTTTCACATAGTCCCATATTTCTTGGAGACTTTGCTCATTCCTTTTTACTTTTTTTTCTCTAATCTTGTCTTCTCGTTTCATTTCATTAAGTTGGTCTTCAACCTCTGATATCCTTTCTTCTGCTTGATCAATTCGACTGTTAAAACCTGTGCATACTTCGTGGAGTTCTTGTATTGTATTCTTTGGTTCCATTAATTCACTTATATTCCTCTCTAAATTGTCTATTCTCGTTACGATTTCGTCAAACCTTTTTTCAAGGTTCTTAGTTTCTTTACATTGGGCTAGAACATGTTCTTTTAACTCACAGAAGTTTCTTATTATCCACCTTCTGAAACCTAATTCTGTTATGGGAATGCACTCGTTCTCCATCAGGCCTTGTTCCCTTGTTGATGAGGAACTGTGATCCTCTGTAGAGGGAGAGGCATTCTGATTTTGAGTATTCTCAGCCTTTTTATGCTGGTTTCTTCCCGTCATTATAAATTTATCCACCTGTCGTCTTTGTAATTACCGACTTTCAAATTAGGTCTCTGAGTGGACGTCCAACTTGTTAATTCCCAGCACTGAAATCTGAGCTACCCACTGTGCTGGCTAAATCAGTGGCGTCAAGATTCTTGGTGCTTTTCTGCCTGGGCGTCTCCGGTCTGGCTTCCCTCCTGAATCCCTTCTTCAATCAGCTGAATGGGTGACTCTGCCTTTGCGGAGCTCCAAACGTCAACCAAAAGGGGACCCAGTCCCGTTTACTCTGCATTAAAAACTGCCATGCTGGGGCGCTGGCAAAACCGCCGTGCTGGCCACAAGAGTCGCGCCAGCCACAAGAGTTGTGCTGGCGACCCGTGGGGCTCCTCCGCTGGGAATCTCCTCGTCCGTGAGCAACAAAAATTCATCTGAAAGTGTGGCATCCTCTCATCCTCTGTGCTTTCACTGGGAGCTACAAGTCTGAGCTGCTAGTGATCGGCCATCTTGGATCTCTTCCGCCGCCGAGCCTACTTCTTGAAATTTGGTCTCCAACCATGACAAAAAACTGGCCATTGCCTAATCAGGTAAGACATGATAAATCACACTCCCTAGGCTCTTGAAGTATCTTATCAATATTGAGAATACCTGTTTACCCTGATTACTCAGACTATATCCTGCCTGGGCTGTCAGGCAACTCAAAGTTAAATTTTTATTTTTTATTATTATAAGAGACATGGTCGGTGTGGTGGCTCATGCCTGTAATCCCAGCACTTTGGGAAAACAAACTGGGCAGATTGCTTGAGTCCAATAGTTCAAGACCAGCCTGGGCAACATGGTGAAACCCCATCTCTATAAAAATAGAAAAAATTAGCTGGGCATGATGGCACATGCCTGTAGTTCGTTCCAGCTACCCAGGAGGCTGGGGTGGGAGGATCACCTGAGCCCGGGAAGTCAAGGCTGCAGTGAACTATGATTATGCCACTGCACTCCAGTCTGGGTGACAGAGTGAGACCCTGGCTCAAAAAAATAAATAAATAAAAACAAGAAAGACATATATACCTTGCTATATTACCCAGGTTTGAATGCAGTGGCTATTCCCAGGCACTATCATGATGTACTATAGCCTCAAACTCCTGGGCTCTAGTGATCCTCTCAGTGACCAGAGTAGCTGGGACTATGGGCACATGCCACTGTACCTCGCTTTCACAGTTAACTTTAGTGCCTACTCACTAACTCTTATTAGCCTAATTATCTTTTCCATTTATTTGGACCATATTTTTGTCATTATATTTAAGACTTTATTTTTTTAATGATAAAATCAGTGAGATATAGAAAAGAGGAAAAATATTTAAAGTGCTATTTTTTAATATTATTTATATCTTAGTTATTTAGTTATTTTTGAGACAGTCTCACTCAGTTGCCCAAGCTGAAGTGCAGTAGCATAATCTGGGCTCAGTGCAACCTACACCTCCCAGGTTCAAGTGATTCTCCTGCCTCAGCATCCCAAGTAGCTGGGACTACAGGTGCATGCCTCACGCCTGGCTAATTTTGTATTTTCAGTTGAGACGAGAGTTCACCATGTAGGCCAGGCTGGTCTCGAACTCCTGACCTCAAGTGATCTGCTCACCTTGTCCACCCAAAGTGTTGGGATTACAGGCATGAGCCACCACACTCAGACTATTATTTTTTAAAGAAATACATGCTGTTGTTAAAAAAGAAAAAGTACTCAAGTGTATGAACTATACAGTCACACATTCTTCCCTAACTCCACTGCCCAGAAGTACCTAGTTAAGCTTAACATATATACTCCCAGATTTTTCATATAAGCAGCTGATAATCTCATACATTGCTGGTGGGAATATAAATTGGCACACCATTTTGGAAAACTGTGACACCATCTACTAAAACTAATTATACACATAGACACAATGGTCTCATTTTTAGGCATACATCCAGCAGAAATGTAGGCATCTGTGAACTAAAAAAATATATAAATGTTCATATAAGCATGATTTCACAGTAGCTCCAAACTGGAAACAACCCAGTTGTAGAATAAATAAATTGCAATATATTCAACTTGAATCTCTCTCATAAACAATAATGACCAGAGAAGTCAGACAAAAAGAAATATGCTGTATGATTACATTTCTATAAAGTTCAAAACAGGCAAAACTAATCCAATAATGGTAGAAATCAGGAGGTAGTTACCTTTGGGGAGATCTCTGTGACTAGGAGGATGCATGAGAAGGCATTTGCGCTATTAATAGGTGTGATTGCTTTGTCATAATTTATTAAGCTGAACATGGATGCAGTGAAAAGATATTGATCTCATTATTTTTAATGGTTCCAGGGTCTTCCATTGGATGGATGTTTACTAATTTAGTTAACCATCTCTCTACTGATTGCACATTTACATTAGTTTTTTAGGTTGTTATTCCTATGATAATGCTGTTGTAAACAACCTTATATAAATTCTTCCATTTTTATGAATATATCTGTAAGATATATTTCTAAATAGAGGAACTGATGCTTCAAAAGAAATATATGCTGTAAATGTTGATAGATATTGTCGTAAAACCCTGAAAAAAAAAAACTATAACAATTTGCATTTTCACACAGGACATAGTTGCCTAATTTCCATAATCTGAAAATTCACTGGGTAGTATTGGTCTTTTACATTGCTGCCTTTAGTAGGTGAAAGGATTTTCTCATGACTGTATTCATTCTCTTTCTTTCAATCTTTCTTTCTTGCTTGCTTTTCTTTCTCAGTATCTCGCTCTGTCACCCAAGCTGGAGTGCAGTGGCGTGATCTCAGCTCACTGCAACCTCTGCCTCCTGGGTTCAAGCAATTCTCCTGCCCCAGCCTCCTGAGTAGCCAGTACTACAGACACCCGCCACCACGCCTGGCTAATTTTTGTATTTTTAATAGAGATGGGGTTTCACCATGTTGGCCAGGC